GGTCCTCCCGACCTTCGTCGCCTGCTAACTATGGTCCCCTCGACCTTCGTCGCCCGCCGACTACGGTCCTCCCGACCCTTGTCGCCCGCCGATTACGATCCTTCTGACCTCCGTTGTCTGCCGACAACGGTCCTTCCGACCTCCGTCACACGATGACTACGATCCTTCCGACCTCCGTCGCAATACAACGGTCCTTCTGACCTATGTCGCTCACAGACTATGATCCTTCCGACCTCCGTCACCCGCCGAATATGGTTCTTCCGATCTACATCGCTCGTCGACTATGGTTTTGCCATCCCAAACAAACATATCAACATTGATTCTTCCAACTTCTACCATGCAATGCATTTTATATGATGTATATTTGTTACTTCGATCCAAGGCCTTCCTCCTAAGGATGGGCCTCATTTGTAATCAATTGCAAGCATTAGTGGATTCATTTAAACTGGGCCAGGCCCCGTGGGTTTACCCCCCTTTTTAGGGGTTTCCACGTAAAAACTCTGGTGTCTCTTATGATCGCTACACCCTCATCTCTTTCATCTGCTTGTGTTCTGGATCTTCGTACAAAGCTAAGCATTAATCTTAATATTTCTCTACCGCCGCGAATTTTCCAGGACGCAACAAATATATTGAATTTTTCATTTAGTATTTTATACAAAACAAAGAGTTCATGCAGATATATCTTTAAATTTAATATTTTATTTCTAGAATAAGTATATTTTTTATAAATTTCATATGAGATATAAATTAATCAAATCTATGATTTAAATTTTAAATATCACGTTCTATTTGAAATCTAAAGCACTGATTGTTGTATTCGCAAAAGACACCGTTCATCTGTTATGTTGGTTGTGAGTTTTGAATATCAACTAAGAGATTTTGAATTTAAAGCTTATGCTTGTGAGTTTGACTTTAACTAACTAAAATGTCAAAAAAAAAAAAAAAACTCACGCGGACTTACCACCCATCTTTCACAAAAGTAAGAAATGAAGATCGGTGGCGTCTTACTTTAAGAAGATGGCCTCGCTTGGTGCGGCTTAATTATAGCATTTTTAGGTCGAAAACGAAAAACTCAGTTGACGCCATTTATTTAGAATCAAAACTTTTGTAAAATTCTTTTTTTCTTAAATTGTGTTTATTTATTGGTTACGAAAGATTTTTTATTGTTTGCTTATCTTCTCAAAACCTCTATTTGTATCTCAGATTTCATATCTAAACATCGTTTCTTACTCTCTTATAATCCATGACTATATATAATTTTTAATTTGAAAGAGCATAGGCATATTAAAAGGCTTAAACGGCATTAACAGCTACTCTTCCTTGTGTTTGGATAAGATCCAGTCGCATGAACTACTTGATGAAAAAACATTACAGAGCATCAAAACAGCAACTAAAAGTATAAAAGAACAAAAGCATCAAAAGAGCAACTACTATTAACAAATCAAACAATTCTATTTTTAAATTTACATTTGTTGCGTCCAGGAGTATTCGCGGCGGTAGAGAAATATAAAGTTTATCGTCTTAGCGTGGTACGAAAATCCGGCACGCAATCAGATAAGAGAGAGGGTCTAGCATTTATGAGACACCAAGATTTTTACGTGGAAAACCCCTAAAAAAAAGGGGGAAAACCACGGGACCTAGCCCAGTTTGAACGAATCCACTAGTATTTGCAGTCGATTACAAATGAGGCCCTTCCTTGGGAAAATGCCTTGGCTTGATGTACATTTTATAGAGTACATTACATGATATGAATACAAAGAATCATTATTGACATGTTCGTTTGGTCGGGAAGACCGTAGTCGGCGAGCGACAGAAATCGGAAGGCTTGTAGTCGGTGGGCTACGTAAGTCAGGAGGACCGTAGTCGGTTGGCGACGGAGGTCGGAAGGATTGTAGTCAGCGGGCGACGTAAGCCAGGAGGACCGTAGTCGGCAGGCGACGGAGGTAGGAGAGACTGTAGTCGGCGGGCGACATAAGCCAGGAGAACCGTAGTCGGCGGGCGACGGAGGTCGAAAGAACTGTATTTGGCGGTCGACATAAGTCAGGAGGACCGTAGTCGGCGGGCAACGGAGGTCGGAAAGACTGTAGTCTAACGACGAAGATCAGAAGGACAACGTCAGGTAGAAGTCCAACAATGGAAAGAAATCCATCTTTGCGTAAATGTCAAGTGAAGTTCGATAACCAGTAGAAGTCCGGCGTCGGGTAGAAACTTGGCGAAGAGTGAAGGTTCGACGTCGGGTAGAAGTCCGACGTCTGATTGGTGGCAGAGGAGAACTCCGGCTTCACTTGGGAGGAGTTTCAGCGTCAGAAGGAAACTCTGTTGCAAATTGGGAAGAATTTCAGCATCACGTGGAAGTTGGGAAGAATTCCTGCGTTCTCCCGAATATCACGCAGAATCCCCGCGTGTTCGGACGACAGGAAGAGCTCCGACGGTGGTCGAGGAGGAGCTTCTTCCTTCTCCTCCTTCTTCTCTCTCTTCACTTGAGCCCCCTTTGGTGTAGAATGAGGGCTCTATTTATAGTTTTTCTGGAGTGGCATAGCCCATAAATAGGCGTGAGATCAGGGGCGAATTGGGAGTGTTTTGAATGGACGGCCGATATCGAATACTTTGATCATGTACTGTTCGTTGGGAATTTGAAGGCCTTAATGATGTCAGAATTCGGCTATCTTGGGAGCGTTGGATTTGTCTCGTCGAGCCGTTCGATTCGAGTATAAGCTCGTCAAAATCTGAGACCGTTTGGTAACTCAAATTGCGGTTTGAACCTTCCGACAGCGCTTTGAGCCCTTGATTCAGACTCATTTGGGCTCGGATTGGGTTGATCTTGGTGTCATCGGGTTCGTATTTCGAGACGCTCAGTTTGACTGTAAGCTCGCTGAAATCGGAGTTCGGGTGCTCCCAAAATTAATTTTTGAAGTTTCCAACTAGTTTTTGCCTCGAGATTCGTGCCCGATCAAACTAATTTTATGATGACGTATCAACATTATTATTTAAAAAATAATATAACCAAACAATCATCAAAATTTTTTTGACATTTAGATTATTTAAGACAAATTTATACATACAACGCATACATAAAGACTATAACCCAAGATTTATTAGTTGAAAGTCTAAGCTCTCTGCCAGGGGAAATTATTGGACTCGGACACCGGATGATGTCCGGAGTCCAATGAAAATGCGCCACATCACCTCTATTCGGTACTGAGTTCTGTATTTGCTCGGTACTCCGCAGTACCGCACAGTACTGAGCTCGGTATTGTTTCGTACCGATCAGTACTGCTCGGTACGGTGGAGTACCGAACTCAATACTTCACTTTACCGAGTTCAGTATTACTTAGTACTATGAAGTAATGGTAATTTGTGTCCTGTGTCCGAACCCAGTAATCTCTCCAACAAGAGGCTAAGATGAGCTTTGTACAATCAGCAATTAATTTAAACATTTTTTTTTTCAGTACATTTTCACAATAACCGTTTTTAAACCACAACCAAACGAAGCCGAAGCTGGTGAGTAGAGGAGCTCGGACATCATATTTTCTTTGGGCTCGGATTCTCCATCTTCCCGCTCGCCATCTCCCATCCGACGCCGACAGGCTCCTGATCCGAGCCAGCCAGCCAGGTATCGGGTTACCATGTCGGGTTCCCGGTTGTCAGCACTCGCTGTGACGCCGATGTGGCTACATTGAGCACCCTCGGCTTCTGGATTATTATGTTGCCGCCATGACGAGGAGCTCGGCCTTGGGAGAGCTTTCGCCGGTACCATACGAGGAGGAGTTCTACGAATCCCTAGACCGAATCTTCTCCTCGTCGTGCTCCTCCACCTCCGCCTCCGACGACGATACCGACCATTATCACCGCCACCGTTTGCCACCGCCGGCTGCAGCAGCTTATGAGGTATGGATCACCGATCCAGCCCCCGTCGAGGAGCGCCGGAGACGGCTTCTTCAGTTGATGGGACTTACCGGCGATCCTGCTCTCTCCCGTGCGAAAACACCAATCTCGAACTCCGGCGAAGATGACTTCAGCAGGCGGCGAAATGGGGATTGTGTGGAAGCTCCCAGATCCGCATCATACAAAGCAGTATATCGACGCATTGACCCATTCTCTTCTTCCGCCCTCTTCACGCGATCCAGATCCGACGGCACCGTTGATCCCGTCGCAGTACATAGGCAACTGCGCTTCGCGCCGTCCTTTCGGCCGGCAGCCTCCGATGGCAGCGGCCGAGTTGAAGATGATTATGATGATCCACGGTGCACCATTAGGAACCTGGATACGGGGAGGGAGTTTGTGGTGAAGGAGTTTAGGGAAGATGGAATGTGGAATAAGCTAAGAGAGGTTGGGACTGGTCGGCAGCTAACAATGGAGGAGTTCGAGATGTGCGTGGGGCGCTCTCCGATCGTTCATGAACTCATGCGGCGGCAGAACCAGAATGCTGATTCCGGCGCCGCTCCCGATTCCTACGTTGGCGGTGGAAACTTCACCGGAGCCGGTGTGGGTGTGAGAGGGAAGAGGAAAGGGAACTGGCTTAAGAGTATTAAGAACATTGCCGACACCGTAGTTCACTACCGTGAAAAGAGGAGTATCGAGGAGAGGGACTCTTCATCGGAGAAGGGAGGGAGGAGGTCGAGCTCAGCCACAGACGATAGTCAAGAGGGATCTAACCATCATTTCCATGGCGCCGAGCGGATTAGAGTTAGGCATTATGGAAAGTCCTTTAAGGAGCTTAGTGGTCTTTACTTGACTCAGGAGATTCAAGCGCATGGTGGATCTATTTGGACCATTGAGTTCAGCTTGGATGGGCGTTATCTTGCCAGTGCAGGAGAGGACTGCGTTATCCATATTTGGAAGGTATTGGAGTGCGAGAGGAAGGTAGGGCCGGCAATGGAGGGAGTTGCAGGGGAATATGGGAGTTGCAATCCGTTCATGGGCGTAATTGGTAACGGGACACCGGAAGTTGCGTTTGCTTTGGCTTGCATTGAAACGAACCACCAGGAGAAGAAGAGGAGGCCAAAGATATCAAGTGGCAGGAAATCTCTCGGTTTGGAAACCATCATAGTGCCAGAACATTTTTGTGCGCTCGACGAGAAGCCTCTATGCTCTTTTATTGGTCATCTTGATGATGTCCTGGATCTATCTTGGTCTAAATCTCAGGTACCAGCGTACCTCTATTCGTTTGCGCTTGCTACGTGACCTTGATATCGAGCATCATAATGGATGCTGTTTATTATAAAGTTTTCGCTATTTCGGAGGAAAATTTATATTTTAATGCTCTATTATGCTCAATTTTATCAATTCGTCAAGTTTAGAGGCATGGTGGCGTATTTTGTGGACAAATTCACACACAAAAATGCGATGCCTGGACATTTTTAAGCTGACCCCTCATTTTCTATGTAAAAGTCATTTAACATTCATGTGAATTTCCGTGGCCTTTAACTGATTTGACTTCTTTATATCTAATCCCCTCATTTGCTATGTAATTTTTGGGCTTTTGCTCAATTGTTGATTATATCTGCTTTTCCATTGAAATTAGGACATCAATTGATGCTCCATGCGTATGAGACAGTTGCCAATCAAAAGCAACTTCTTGAATGTACTCATTACAACATATTTTACCCAAGCTTGACTTACGTAGGCTTCATTGTCTTTTAATCATATGCAGAGCTAATGCGGAATTTGATTTATGAAGTATCATGGTGTATTGGTGTTAACATTTGGTGTATGCCATCACTCCTGAAAGGGTTGCATTTGCACAAGAATTTAAATACAAGCCATATTTTGTTGCCTTCTACAATGCTACAATCTAAACTTCGGATGGTCTTTCAAGTTCATCTTCCAAGCAGTGAAAACTTAAAAACATATAGTAAATGGAGTGAAGCACTATTTTATACTATGTGAAGCACTCATTTTACGCATTGTTCGAAAGCGAAAAGAATTGGTGTGGTTCATTTTATATGCTGAAATATAGGATAGTAGCAGTTTATGTAGGTGACATACAGTTTCATAGAAATTTAGCCATTTCAAGGCTTAGACATCCCTTTTCAAGTAGGTATATCCCCCCTTTTCAAGCTATTCATAGATGCTATCCTTTTCAAATGATGTCTGTAAAATGTTTACTCATGCTATCTTCATAAGATTAAGGGGCTGTTTGAATACATGATTTATGCAGGATTTATGACAAATCCTGCCAAAAGGGATTTGAGAATATTGTAAATCTCACAGCAAAATAAATCTTTCATTTCCCTCTTTTTGGCGTAAATCCCATATTTACTAAATCTGGGAGTACAATTAATTTATAAGATTTGGTTGAAGAAGTGCACGAAAGGGAGAAAGATGGTTACCTTCGCAAGGAGCGAGCTCCCATTGTTACTTCTTGTCCAACAGAAAAAACGGCGAGTTGTCATGACATGTGATCCAAAATGAAGGAACTTCATCAAAGGAGGCGAAAAATTCTTTTAGCAACTCGTGCAAAACTCTACTTTATGCGAACCAGGCGAAGTAGAAAAGAGACGAAGAAATGGAGAAGAGGAAAAGCAAATCCTACGCATGCCTAAGGCTATCGGAAGCCTGTGTAAACAGTTCTTAATTATCTAATTAGCTTAATTAATTTAAAATATTAAAATTAATCAGAAATTAATAGGGCAGATAGTAATTAAATAATTAATTATTTAATTAGATAATTAATAGTATAATTAGTAATTAAAAACTTATTAAAGTAATAATTAAATAATTAATTAGATAATTAGTAGTGTAACATGTAATTAAGTAATTAGTTATTTTAAATAATTAATTAGATAATTATCAGAAATTAGTAATCAAATACTTATTAATAACACCTAAATAAGCAATTAGATGATTAGTATTTTAATTAATTATCAAATCATTTGTTAAGTTGTTTGATAATTAACTAACTTCTAATTATATTATTTATAATTGTAATGATGTTATTTGAAATTGAAATTAATAAATAACTTGTATTTAAAGTGCAAATTAAAATTGAATTCTTAATGAACTGATCATCGGAAATCCCAAGTTATGTTACCAAACAGTTTCATAGGATCTCTTTGGATTTAATATATGTTTTTGTCAAATAGTTATTTAATTAGCTTAATTAATTTAGAGTATTAAAATTAAATAGAAAATTTAACAGGGTAAATAGTAATTAAATAATTAAATGTTTAATTTGATAATTAGTAGTATAATTAGTAATTAAAAACTTATTAAAATAATAGTTAAATAATTAACTAGATAATTAGTAGTGGTAAATAGTAATTAAATGATTAAATGTTTAATTAAATAGTTAATATTATAATTAGTAATAAAAACTTATTAAAATAATACTTAAATGATTAAATAGATAATAAGTAGCTTAACTAGTAATTAAGTAATTAGTTATTTCAAATAATTATTAAATAACTAATTAGATAATTATTAGTATAATTAGTAATCAAATACTTATTAATAACACTTAAATAAGTAATTAGATCATTAGTATTTTAATTAATAATCAAATCATTAGTTAAGTTCTTTTATAATTAAACTGACTTCTAATTATATTATTTATAATTATACTAATTGATGGTATTTGAAATTGAAATTAATAAATAACTTATATTTAAAGTGCAAATTAAATTTGAGTTCTTAATGAACTAGTCACCTTAAATCCTAAGTTACATTGCCAAACCATTTCACAAGATGTATTCGAATTTAATGTTGTTTTGCCAAATAATTTTCAGGATATAACATCCTCATAATTTAATAAATTCGGATTTACAGGATTTACTAAATCCTACTTGAATTAAATTGCACTTGTTGCCAAACAGCCCCTATGTTTTGTATCATTCTCGACAGATGACATTTTCTTGAAACCTTTAGTTTTTACTCTTTGGTAGTGCTCCTCATGCATCTTCTTCTCCATATATGGCATGCTTTTATCAGGCTTTTGTTTTACTTTTTAATAGTAGTGCTCGGTAAAGAAGTAAATATAATCGAATCTGAGTTAAAACACAGAAAGATGGAAATGCTATTTGGAGAAAATGTTAAATTAGAGTTCAGGTAAGAAAATTCTTTATAAAAGCAAAATGAATAAAACTCTTGGAGAGATGGTTTCTAAGAAGCAATGATGCTGTCCATCTTAATTTAATAGCGTCCATTTTATTACACTGAACTTGCTTGGAAATTAGTCAATTGCAAATTTCAATAGCACGCGGCTAGTGCTTTGTTTGTTTGACGTTCTAAATCAAGCATTGACTGACTCTTCACCATTGGCATACCTATTGCATGAGGCACCCATTATGACATTGTCTGGGGAAGTTTGAGATATGCAACCTTACACATGCATGGTATATGGAACCTGTAACCTCGTTGTCATCATAGGGCAAATTAATTGTATTTTCAAGCCTAAAATAAAAAGTAAAAAAAAAATTGTATTTCCAAGCCTGCACTCAATTATTTACCGTTGACTATTATGTAAATGGAGATGATAATGTGGGAATCTAAAGAAAATGCACTTAGGAAAACTTGTAGGAGCAATTGAGATGCCCTTTAGCTAGCTATCATTTTGGCTCATCTGCTATATGTTTACTGATTTGTTTAATATAGAAATAATCAAATGGATATACACATCAAATTTAAGTACTTGATTTCTTCTAGCTTGATGCATGATTAACTCATGATTGCCTTTAATCTTAACACTGAAGCAGCTTTGTCCATTACTATTTAAAAAAATACAGATCAATAGTTGGGTCATTAGAAGATCTTTAATAGCCATGGAAAAGTTTACAGTACTTTATGAAGACTGTGGCTTAGGATATGAAAATTGCGGTTTAGGAACATACGGAATATAAAACTAATGTGAAGAATTTTCGGCTGTCCAAAAGGGTTATGGAGCATCTTATACCATGTTCTAATGAAGTGGTTGATCTTCTTCGGCATTAATAAGCTAACTATTATTAGTGCTCGGTTAGTCGAGCTACTTTTTTGACACAGCCATTGCGTGTATCTATGACATGAAGAGGTTTCTAGTACTAATGTTTTGCTTGCCTTTTGATATTGGTGTACATCTTATTTACATAAATAAATCTGAGTGCAGTTTTTGCGTAAATGATGACATTTTTAATATGTTTTTAATAATTGTTAATTCTGTGAATGGCAGTATCTACTTTCATCTTCAATGGACAAGACAGTCAGGCTGTGGCACATGTCTAGCATTTCTTGCCTGAAAATTTTTTCACATAGTGACTATGGTTAGTCAGATTTATGCCTACCAATGTCGTTTTTAAACCCCTCTAGCTTGGCTCATATGTTGTATTTTCCTGTTAGCAAATACTATCCTAATACTTTTTAACATTCTCTTTGCAGTGACGTGCATCCAGTTCAATCCTGTTGATGACAGGTACTTCATTAGTGGATCTTTAGATGAGAAAATCCGGATATGGAGCATACCAGATCAGCGAGTTGTTGACTGGAATGATCTTCATGAAATGGTGACAGCCGCATGTTATACACCTGATGGACAGGTTTAGCATTTGATGCCATGTAGTCTTCAAGTCTTTTGATTTGAATATGATAAGGACCTTCCCGTTTCTCTGTACTTTGCAATCGTTATGTTTTGTTCAATTGCTCTATTTTATCTTTTTCAAGGGTGCTTTGGTAGGCTCGCACAAGGGAAGCTGCCACTTGTATGATACATCTGGTATGGGCAGAATCATCCTCATTAGCCCTATCTCAATTATTTGTGACAAACTTTTTGGATTCCCATTGTCCATTTGTCCCTACTGAGTGTTGCTTGAGGTGTTAAATTTATTCTTTACAAATCATTTTGAAGTACTTATATCCATGATATCTTAGGTCTATCTCTTCTCTGTTTTAATTTTCTAACACTAATTTTTATGTGCATTTTCTATCATTCAAATATATGTTCAAACTACCTAAATTCATTTTCCCTTACCTATTTTCAATAGATCTCACTGCAATTGTTCCTCTATGATCATTTTTCAATTCATCTTTCATAGTTTTATTATACTTTAATTTTAATTTTCTCATATGGAAAACCTTACCTAGTATTTCTTCAGAGTTTTTTAGGTGTTATTTCTTGAATGAAATGTAAGGGTTATGCTTTTCGGAGACTATTATTTCTTCAGAGTTTTTTAGTTGTATACAAGGGTTCGTTTGGCTGTGCAGATTGAAAAATTATTTAAAAAATAATTATCTCATTTTAACTCATTTTGTTTATAAAAATAAAGTAATCATTGTGGGATTTTGAAGATGTTGCTAAGTTTAAAACTGATATCGATTTCTAAACTCATTCATTCAAATAACAGAATTTAATCAATTCTTCATTTTTAAACATGTTCTCTAACTTCAGCTACCAAATGAACCCCTATTGTGGGCTAATATTGTTATGCTTTTCGGAGCTTGATATTCATGCCACGCCCTAATTTAGTCTGATTTGGCTTTAAATTTTTCTTTGCGCTAAAAAAATCTCGTATGCATGCACATAAGGGCTGGGGATCAAGGGGAGCTTAGTTCTTTACAAATTTTGTTGGGCATATGTTTCATCTTATTTGACAATCTTTGATTTGATAAGAGTTGGTGTGTTTTGTTGTCGTTCCTTTTTTGGCAGATAATAAGCTGAATCATAAAACCCAAATTGAACTGCAAAACAAGAAAAAGAAGTCCACCCACAAGAAAATAACTGGTTTCCAGGTTTTCAATCTATGTTATAACATTTGCGGTTATCATCATTTTATATGCTCTTTTTTAATTTACTGGTATCAAATATGAATTGTTTTTTGACATGTTTAATCCAACAGTTTGCTCCAGGGAGTAACTCTGAAGTACTTATTACATCTGCTGATTCAAGAATACGAATTGTTGATGGCGTCGAGCTGGTCCACAAGTTGAAAGGTAAAGTAAACATACGTAGTTGTTTCTATTCATGATTTTTATTTGAACTAATAAAAGGCTGTGTTTTTTAGTATGTGCTCTAGATTTAAGTGCTCTCCTCTCCTAATGAAAAAATACAAATAATCCATATAAATCATACTTTAAATAGCCAATAAATGCAAATATCTCATTCCTAAAATGTTAGCTTACTGCAACATCTAAACCAAAAAAAACTTGTTGTTGCGTCCTGGAACATTTGCGGCGATAGAGAGATATGACTTTAACATCCTAGCTTTTTACGAAAATTCAACACATAGGCAGATGAGAGAGAGAGGTGTAAGTCATAAGAGACACCAATGTTTTTATATGAAAACCCTAAAAAGGCCAAAAATCACGGGTCTGGTCTAGTTAAAATGATTCTACTAGTGTTTGTAATCAATTACAAATGATGCCCTTCCTCGGGGGAAGGCCTTGGCTCAATTTAGCAAATATACATCATGTAGAGTACATTACATGGTGGGAGTTGGAAGAATCCAATGATACGAGAGTTGTTCTCAAAAGAATGTTGGCCTGTTCATTTGGTCGGTAAGATCGTAGTCAGGCGACAAAGGTCAAAGGGGCTGTAGTTGGGCGACTGAGATAGAGGGGACCTTTTCAGTTGATAGAAGTCAGAGGGATCATAGTTGGTAGGAGACAGTGGTCTACGGCAGTCGAGATATTGTAATTGGAAGGCGGCAGTGGTTGGAAGGACCATTATCGGCGGGCGATTATGGTCGAAGCGACAGAGGTCGAAGGGACTGTAGTTGGCAGGCGATGGTGGTCGGAAGAGACGGTAACTTTTTCAGTAATTTGAAATAAAAAAATTTGTTTTCTTAGACTAAAGTTTAAACTTTTTTAAGTGTTTAAGAGCTAAAATTAGGCATACCTTTGATGATCAAAGATAAATTTGACAAATATGAATTGATTTAGATATTGATTTCATTTTATGGTATGCGCATGAAAGACAGATCATGGGATATTATTTATGGGGTCAAAATCTAAGCGGTGAAAATATTGAGAATCAAGGCTCGGATTAAATCAAGGGTGTATTCAAATTAAAAAAAAAAAGAAAATATTAAAAGTCGAGGAATCAAAAATATTGACTTGTATCAGGCTTAGATTGTAACTTATATCTTTCAAGAGAGGAGTAAAGTTGATCAATGACAACATATAATCATATTACACGGATTCTGATCAAACGTTGTATGTAATTAGATAATAATTAAAATACAGAATTGAGGAACTGTTATTGTAATGAAATGGTTTATGCAAGACAAACTTTGGATTTACTATGATAATGGGTGCAAAGGATTAAGTCGTTGATGGACTGGTTGATTTGATTGGGATGTAATTAGGAAGTTTTCTAATCAAGAGGGAACTGTTTAGGAATGTTCTTAATCGAATGGGATTAATTAGGAGATATTTTCTAATTGAATAGAGTATATTTGGGGGCTGATTTAAAGGGGATTAATTAGAAAATATTTCGTAATTAAAGAGAGCAGATTTGGGGGTTGATTTGGAGGGGATTAATTAGGAAATGTTTCCTAATTGAAGAGAGCTGATTTGGGGATTGATTTGGTGGGGATTAATTATGAAATATTTCATAATTTAAGAGGGCTGATTTAGGGGCTGATTTGAGGGTTGATTCGGGAGGGAAATAATTAAAGAAATATGAGGGAATTGGGGGAGGGCTATTTGGATATTTGTTGTTTATTGCTTGCTTAAAGTAGGTGATTTTTTTAGGGTTATGGGTATATTTTGAGTTTGCTGAAATTATAATTTCTTAGTTTGTGAGGGCTCTAGCTGTGAGCTAGAGATTTGGGAGAGTCGGATCTTCCTCTCTCATTGAAGATCCAATTGTATCTTGCTATTTTATTTCATATATCTTGCATAAAAATAATTTTGTTGTGTTCTTTTTTCTAATTTCTTATTGTCGTTCGTTGATTTTGAGAAAATCATATTCACTTCCTATTAGTCGCCCTATCAATGATTATACTTTAGATCTTCTAAAAAAAATCAATGAAAACTTTAATAATTGGAGAAAATTAAGTTAAACTAATTATTTGTAAGATTGAAAGAAACTCAACAGAAAATTGCAAGTTTTAATTAGATTCCAGAACATATCCACAAGACTAAAACAGAAATATGGATAAAATGGCTTGCAGTTAGAGATCTTAATGTTAATTGATTTTGACCAAATCTAAGTTATTCACTAAGACACAAATAAAGATGAAATTCTATAAAAAGGAGATTCTAGGAGTCTTTCTCCATGGATTGTATACTACAGTAAGAAGTGCACTTGAACACAAGTAGTAGAACATGAGCTTGCATGTGTCTTTAGATTCCAATTGAAAACTATTTATAGGCATTGTGAGGGAAATATTAAGAGTCACTTGAATGCAATAAAGGAGGGATGCGAAGTAAAAAAGTCATGAAGAAAAAATAGGAAAAAATGCGAAGTCAAGGAGGTGGTGTAGAATAAAGGAGAGTTATAAATGATACATCATAAAAAATGATAAATCCTTCCGACCTCCATCGCCTACTACGGTCCTTCCGACCTCAATCGTCTGACAATGGTCTTTCTGACCCCTGTCTTCTGTCAATTACGGTCCTTCTGACCTCCGTCACCTACTACGGTCCTTCCAACCATCGTCGGCTACTACTGTTCTTCCGACCTCCGTCACCAGACAGTGTTCTTTCTGACCCCTGTCTCCTGCCGACCTCCGTCACCTATTACGGTCCTTCTGACCTACATCGCCAAACATCGGTCTTTCTGACCACTGTCTCCTGTCCACTACAGTCCTTCCGACCTCCCTCGCCGGACAACTGTCTTTTTAACCACTGTCTCCCTCCGACTACAACCCTTCCGACCTCCATCGCCAGACTATGGTCTTTCTGACCCCTATCTCCCATTGACTACGGTCCTTTTAACCTCCCTCTCCAGACAATGGTCCTTTTAACCTCCCTCGCCAGACAACGGTCCTTCCGGCTACCATCACCAGACTATGGTCTTTCCGACCTCCGTCGCCCGCCGACTATGGTTCTGCTGACTTAAGGAACATTTCAATACTAATTCTTCCAATTCCCACCCAGTAATATGTTGTACATATGTTACATCAACCCAAAACCTTCCCCCCAATGAAGGGCCTCATTTGTAATCGACTGTAAATAATAGTTGATTCATTCAAACTGGGCCAGGCCTTTTGGTTTTTTCCCCTTCTAAGGGGTTTTCACGTATGCCAGGACGCGAAAATATTAAATTTTATATTTCTCTACCGCCGCGATTATGCTAGGACGCTACAATAAAAAGTAGGAAGATTTTAGGGAATTACATAATGAAGGGGGAAGAGGGATTCCCCATAATCCATCCATCAAGTACAAAATTCAATATAATCCATTAGCCACAATGAGGGAGGGTGGAAGGAGAGGTGAAATCAGCTGTCCACACTGCAAACCATCTCCTGCCTGCCCCTATACAACCCGTTAGTCACTTCATTTGTGACCAGAATGATGTAGGTAAACACTACAAGCTCACCACAAAGCCATTGTGCTTTTATTACCTTTAGACCTCTTTCAAGTCAGGGTTGGTAATGATAACGTCTCCTTAAAAGAAATATGAAGTAAAAAATGGTGTTTCAGTGCATGACGCCTGTTGATGAAGGAATTGATGAATTTAACGCATTACCCCTACATTGTAGATGGATTTCTTCCATAATTCGAGCCATGACTTAACCTTCCTTGGAGACTAAAAGGTAAATGCGATAAAATTGCAGTAGTATATGAATTTATCAAACATTAAAGTAGTTTTAATAGCTAAATTTAATGTTGTAGAAAGACTGAATATTAAGATGAATTGTGAAAAAAAAATAACATAAAAATTATTGATAATACCAAACTGATGGTGGAATTACATCTGTTTTAGTGGAAAATAAATTTTAGATGGATCCGGCATATATGACAGAAGGTAGAACATGCATTGGTTAGATGCTTAAATATAATTGACATGGAAGGAAATGAGGTAGAAAAAGTAACCGGACTAAAAGTTACGCCACAAAATTTATACAAAATAGAGTTAGCACCTCATCTAAAACTTATAAAAAATGATTGGAGAATGAGTATTTGAGTATTCATCACCAAATAGTTGTGTTAACCCCGTTACTTCTGTTGACATGATTTCCTTATTGTAATAAGGGCATCTCCAACCAAAAAACTCAATTTTCACTCTATCTAAATTACAATAATACATCAAAATGCTGAAATTCGTCTCCAATTGAACTCCATTTTCTAACAAAAAAAAAAAGACCTAGTATATTCTTTCTCATACTTTATTTTATATATTATTTACATTAAAAAAATATACAACAGGTGAACAGTCGTCGGACTGTTCACCAGCAAGCAAATAGCGGAAGTTTGATGTTCGGCTGGAGCGACCAAACGATGCCATACACACATTTGACGTTCGACTAGAGAAGGCCTAAGGTAGTTGATTTAAACGTTACGATTGAACCTTCTTTGCAGGATTTCGCAACACAAGCAGCCAAATCTCAGCCTCTTTGACCACAAATGGGAAATATATCATCTGCGCCAGTGAGGATTCCAATGTTTACATCTGGAGGCATGAAACTGATTCCAGACCAAACAGAAACAAAGCAAAAATCAATGCCACACAGTCCTATGAACATTTCCACTGTCGCGACGTAACCGCAGCGATTCCTTGGATAAATCCTTCCTCCACCTATAACAGTACTCCAGGAGAAACAACTCCTACTGGCTTCAACAACCCAAAACTTAGCCTGCAGCTCTTTTCTGAACCCAATGGTGATGAGCCTATTGACTCCCCAATGGGCTCAAACACCAATCATTTCAGCGACAGAGCTTCGGCGACATGGCCGGAGGAGAAGCTTCTGCTTTCTTCAAAGCAGAGCAGCCCTGAGAGCTTTACAGAAAGCTGTAATGGAGGAATCCATCTGCAAAACAAGTCTGCTTGGGGCTTGGTAATTGTAACAGCCACAAGAGGAGGCCAGATCAAAACGTTTCAGAACTTTGGATTCCCTGTAAGAGTATGATAAATAGTTCATATGGAAGTTGTTGGCAAGCCTGTCAGATAGCCAAGTCTGTGCTAGCCTTGTATAGATAGAGAGGAATACATGGCGAGGTTTGTAATATTATGTTGTTTGTTATGGGTTGTTAAGGTTCTATTTCTTCATTGGCTTCTATTGGAATTAATGCATATTGTTTTGTTTCAGATGAAAAAATTTCTGTCTTGTGCAGATAAAATGTGCGGTAAGTTTTAGTCTTCTGTAAAATCAAGGAGTAATTATGATTTAATTTTGTTTAAATATAAAATTTGATGCGTCAAATTTTAAACAATTAAAAGAATTGATTAAGTCAATATTAAATTATGAAATTATATAAAAATAAGAAATTAAAGCAACAAAATAAATTTTTGCAGAAAATCGTCCTGACGGATGAAACAATTTCGAAAATGTTATTTTAAATGCTATTTTGAATAGCTTATTATGAGGAAGTTTGCTATGAAAAATATTATTAGATGTGGCGTTTAGTTCTGTAAATTGAATGATTATTTAAAACTTCATATATAAGAGTCATTTAACATAAATAAAATTGATAAATAGGTTATGATGACTGCCATCTAGTTAGGCTTCTAAGAATTAGATCTAAAGTTTTGATTTATATTGATAAAATTGTGCATTTAGAGATTTTCAAGCTATTTTTTAAGTACTATACATTTAATTTCTTATAAATTATATCCAACGGTTGCGGGCTAGAATATACGCGGCGATAGAGTTAGAAAGATTTCGTCTTAGCGTTGTACGGATATTCAACACATAAACAGAAGATGAAAGAACACTAGGATTTTTACGAGGAAATCCCTGGAAAGGAAAAAAATCACGGGGCTACGCCCAGTTGAAATAATTCCACTAGTGTTTGCTTGAGATACAAGAGGCTGACTCATCTTTAAAATATAGGACGATCAAATTACAATGATTCACTTTCTGATTGAAATCCAGTTACAAACAAGTTGTGTATTCGAGATGAATTTAGAGTCACTTAGAATTATGGCGTCACTTGGAGATCGGACAGAGTTCCGGCGTCACTGGAAAGTCGGGCGGAATTTTGACGTTACTTAAACTTCAGGCAGAATTCAGGTGTCACTTGGGCAGAATTCCGGCGTCACTTGGGTGTCGGGCAGAATTCCAGCGTAACTCGAAAGTCGGGTGGAACTTCGGCGTCACTTGAACATCGGGCAGAACTCCGGCAGTGGTCGGTGAGGAATTTCTTCCCTTCTCTTCTCCTTTTTCTTGCTTGGGTCCCCTCTCAAGAGAAATGAGAAGCTATTTATAATTTTTTGAGGATGGCATTACTCGTAAATAGGAGGATCAAGTGCAAAGTTGGAGTGGTTCGGATGGACAACCGATATTAAATCCTTTGATCGTGGACAGTTTGTTAGAATTTGGCGATCTTGGGCTCGCTGGATTCGTCTCGTCGAGTCGCTCAATTCTGATTATAAGCTTGTCATTTTTGGAAACCGTTTGGTAATCCAAATTGTGGTTTGAACCTTCCAACAACGCCTCAGGTCTTCGATTCAAACTCATTTGGGCTCAGATCGAGTTGAACTTGGTGTCATTGGGTTCGTATTTCCGATACGCTCAATTTCACTATAAGTTTGCTGAAATCGGAGTTTAGATAATACCAAATTTAATTTTTGAAGCTTCCAACTTGATTTTGCGTCGAGATTCGTGCCCAATCAAGATAATTTTTTGATGATATATCACCAACAATTTTCTGATGATATATCACCAACAATTTTCAAATCATTTTTTAATTAGATCTTGGAGCGTTTGTCAAATATTTAAGTACATTAATAATATTAGTATTAAGTGATGTTAGACTCATTTGATTTGTCTTGTCGACCCGCTCTGAGAATTAACAATTATTCTCAGTGCAACGCAAATTGTTGTGGGTGTTGTTTTCTTTATAACTCGATAAATTGTAATTAAAGGATTCCTCTATTGATTTGTAGATCTATGCAGAATATAAGACAGCTCTTTCATAAAATCCAATTCACCTTTTTTAACTTGATTTCGGAGCGGGTTTTCAAACTTTGTTGTAGGAAAAATTATTTTATATGGACACCCAACGGTTCGGAGCCAACCAGAATGCACCACATCTCCTGTTACACAGCGGTGCCGAGCACCGGTACTGAGCAAAAAAATGACTTGGCACTTTCTTGTTGATTTCCAAATGCCATCTGATGCCCGCACAAAATAATTTTTTTTGTTGTAGGGCTAATTTATTATTGTGAAAACGTCTCTTTAAGAAAAAATGTTTTGTATCTACTTGCTAAAGTCGTGTTATTTGGTTAATCCAATAATTTATAATGCACGAATGACTTGCTAAATAATCAAGAGCACACCTTTCGCATATTAGTTTTCCAATCACAGATCTATTGATATTTAAAAATAGCTTCAAACTAAGCATTTCTTTGAGACTTATCATTTTCTAATATAATTTTTTAATACAAAAATTTCTTAAATTTTTTTAATATAAAATTTGTGTACTAAAAAATTATTTTTTAAATAGTAAAAAACTTTCCAAAATAAGCTTAAGGGTTCATTTAGAATGACTTTATTTCTACTTCTTTTGATTTTTATACTACATTCATCCCAAACGAAACCTAAGTAGTTATAAATTCAGTTAGATGGGCTTTTTTAAATGCAAGAAAGCATAATCAAACACAATATTTGAAAACTAATATTAACATTTTTAGAATACTAATATGTAATTAATGTTAAATCAAATAGCTCCAAAAATTGAATTAGACTATTATTTGCAAATCTCTTGCACCTTAAAGGAGGGCTTTACTAAAAAATAATTTAAATCAAAATGAGCATGAATATCCCTAAATTTTCATCAAAATTAATAAAATTTATTAAATACAAATATTAATATCAACATAAATTTAAAAATATTCAAACTCTAACACAAATATCATAACAAAGAGCTGTTTTGTTATTTTGGTAGGAGTCAAGGAGCCTATTTCTTTCCCTTTGGGAAAAAGAACGAATTCCAATATGTTGCTAATAGTTTAGATTATGATATAAGTTATTTTTTACAGTTAAAAAAAGCAATTTTTTATTGCAAAAATAATCAATTTAAACCATCTTAATTAATTCTTATTGTCTTGTACAACAAATAAAGAACATTGCTTTTTAATTGTTCATCATATAAATAAAAAATTAACAATTTTCGCTTGTATTTTTTGAAGGAAACTCGACCGAAATCATTGCATGGCATAAGGATTTACATTTGGTGTGTTTATACTACTTTTAGGCTTCGTTTGGGGCAGCTTTAGACTACTTTTTTTCTACTTTCAAAAATTTTTTATACTAAAAATAGCTTTACAAAGCAATAAAAAGTCATCTCAAACAAAACCTTTATATCCAAAAAGCATTCCATGCTTACCCCTAATCTATGACGATTATTAAACCAAAACCAACCACATAAGAATATAAATAGTTTAATTCATGCCTTCACGTTCCATTACATAATGTGCATGTGACCATAAGCCTGTATAACTAAACAAAAAAATAAAATAAAATAAAATAAAATAAAATGCCAACCAACAACCTGATCTAGTACAACAGTATGCTATTCAGAGAAGTATTTCGATACTAAGCCTCGGTGAAAATGCTGTCAAGTATAGTTTATTTTGTTGGATTAACATAACCTGCACTGAAGGATAACTACAGTGGCTTTGCATGAAAGCAACGGCTAAAGAACGAACTGTTATACAAGTCATGTTCCAGTTAAAGGAGCTCTGCAATTCCTAGCAAGAAAGAGAAGACAGAAAAGACCATCATGAAAGCAACACTTAGGAGCTTGAAGGAATTAATCCAATGTGAAATCTTAGGCTTCGTTTGGGACGGCTTTTTCTTGCTTCTTAAAGCAGCTTTCTAGTACAAATATTAAAATCTTTGTACTAAAAAACTGCTTTAAGAAGTAGTAAAAAAGACGTACGAAACAAAGCCTTAATTAGCATCATAAATAACAGTACTCTGTTCCAATCTATCAATCCATATGAGGGACTCCTGAAAATCTATCAATCCAGAAGAAGCAAATAAAGCTAAATTTGAGCATTTCCATGATAAGACTTTGTCTATTTTAAAGAGGAGATAAGTATTCTGTTCCAAATTTTGTTTTCAAGTCAACCATATTCTACAGTTTTTCAAAATATCTCCGCTTAATTTCATCTGCAACATAAAAAAGAATTACCCTCGAATTGTATCATTTTTAGGACAAATTATTCTGTGCGGAGTCTAGACAGCGTCCAGAGACCCAAAAAAAAAAAAAACACGTCACCCCAAAAGTGCACCGCGCTCGGTTCTATTTTAAAGAGGAGATAAGTATTCTGTTCCAAATTTTGTTTTCAAGTCAACCATATTCTACAGTTTTTCAAAATATCTCCGCTTAATTTCATCTGCAACATAAAAAAGAATTACCCTCGAATTGTATCATTTTTAGGACAAATTATTCTGTGCGGAGTCTAGACGGCGTCCAGAGACCAAAAAAAAAACGTCACGTCACCCCAAAAGTGCACCGCGCTCGGTACTGCTCGGTACCAAGCGGTACCGGACAGTTCTCCCACCCGGTATCCACACAGAATAATCTCTCCATTTTTAGTGAGAAGATTTAATTGTCCAATAAATATGCACTAAAAATGACTAAGAGAGCTTATAAAGACCCTCATATGGATGCCATTTTCACTCGTGTGTCACTACTAAGCATATTAGAAAGACGCTACATAAAAGTCACGAATCTTTTTTTAAGTATTGGTAGCCATTATCAAGGAACTTCCGTTGCATATTTTTGATAATCATATATGGCAATTTTAATGATGTTCAAGAGAGAAAAATCTTGATATAATGTTCAAATGATAGTGTTCAGAAATTTTGAACAAAACGAAAGAGGGCGACTAATTTATACATATATACAAACAACTTAGTAATATCTCTGCATGCATATTAGTGTACGATCAATGCTAAAAATATAACTTACAGCATTCAATTATAATATGTAATTGACAATTACTATCAGCGTCAACATCATTAATAATCTTTCCCCACAATTTAGTCGGCTTCAGAAATCTTAATCCTTCATGTTGAGTGGATGTTAAATTTATTTTGCATAATATTTTTAAATGATATATATCCAAGTTATCTTCCATCTAATCATTTTTCTTAATAATTCTTCAAGGTTCATTCAGTCTATATATCTTATTACTTCATCTTCTACCTTCAATTATACATGCCCAAATTATCCAAATTTTATTTTGACTATCTTATCATCAGAATATGCTTCCACCTCATATAACCATTTCAATAAATCTAGACTAATTTTTTCAAATATACATTTAAGCATTCTGATGAGGACATCATCACTGATTTCGACATGTGTACCATCGGAGACACCGGAGATCAACGGTCATGATCATGAGTTTATATTTTGAGTCATTTTATGTATTAGTTTATTTTATTTTTCAGTTTTATTGTTTTACCCTTATGGATGGTCTTTTGATATTGTAGCCCTGAGGGTATTTATGTCTTTTAGTTTTGTTTCATTTTGGCCTATTTATAGGAGGCCTCGTGCATTGTACTAGATGATGAATATTGAATGAAAATTTGCCTCTTATGTTCTCTTTGTGAGTTCAACCATCTTCGATCTCTTAGTGAGTTCGTCGGAGAAGATAGATCTCTTTGTGAATTCTAAATTTTTCGCCAAACTATTTTTGTCCTTAAGAGTTTAAATTTTTGCCAAGTTATTTTCGTGGAGATTCGGATTGAAGATAATTGAGGTGAGTGGATTTATGCAAATCCCCATGTAATTAATACTCAAGCCCCTCTCTCCTCTACGTGTGGCCGGCCCCTTAATGGGCTTTTTCTCTCTCCCAATTTAAATTCAAAACCCCACCAAATCAGCCCATAATTATCTCCTCAATTAACACCTCTAGCTATTAATGGATTAATTTGAAATTTCAAATTAATCTCCCTCCAAAATCATTTCAAGCTGAATTTAATTCAGTTTTTTTAATTTTCCCCTCACTAAACCGCCACCGTTCCCACCTCCTCGTCCCCCATATTCCATCTGTGCTCCTTCACCTCCCGGAAAGAATGCATGGCGGATCCGGAGCGTGATCACGGATTTGTGTTTGACTTTCAAGGGGACATCGACGTCGTCCGAACATTCATTGACGTTGGGTTCAGCTTCGACCACACCATCGAGGATTACCTGAACCGTATTCTTCACACCCTCGTGGACGTCCTCGACGAGCAACTTCAGGTAGACTATTGGATCATCAACTTGCGTCCATCATCTTCCCCAAATCCATCTTCTTCCCCGGCGACTAGTCCTCTCGGCGTCACTTGTGTAATAGTGGCATCTCTAAGCGTGCTTGCAATTCTCCTCCGCTAGCCTCCACTTTCAAGAGTTGAGTGAAGGACCTCGAGGTAAAGGATCTAGATTTTAAATTTGAGGCTTTATTATAATTGGCTATTTGCATTACCTAAATCTTTGGTTATTATTTTGCAAGTTCTAGTAATCTCAACGTGTAATCTATTGCTATTGCTTAATCTTTCAACGTCATATTCTTAAACCTTAACTTGAGCAGACAAAGAGTTTTTGGTAGCAAAGTAAAGTTCATCACTTCTATTAATATCTTAACTGCAATTCTTGTTTATTGCATTTAGTTTCACAATCACATTCTCATTTATATTGATCATTAACAAATTCTTTAAAAATCAAAGTTTACACTAATACAACATAGTTGATTTAATTGCAATTCCATACTAAAGAACTGTGTATTACCGAAGGATTTTTTACTAGAAATCCATCAAACATAAGGATTTACCAATCATCAAGTCATTGGGTTTTGCATGCAAGTTGGTCTCCTTTCACAACACATAATCCCTCTAAGTTTACAATATTACTGAAAGGCAAATAACCCCTTGTCAAAGTTGGGCTTCATACAACATCTTTGAATGATAGGTCATTGGTTGACCATCTTGGATGTGAAAGGGGCAAATAATATAACTAAATGCATCCACCTCCAACTCAAATGCATCCTAAAGGTTTGGATAGGCACTAAATGCCATAGTGTTGTTCTTTTTGAGCAGTTAGAACATGTTCTCTTTTTCTCCACACTATAAGGGAGCAACCAATGCTTATACTGAGAAATGATTCCTAAACTTGTGAACATAGTAGAAGCTTTCATAAAACTCGAAACTTTATGCGTGATTTGGGACATCCATGAATTTTTACTAGTTAGTTCAGGTTTTAAATAAAATTCTCCCAAACTCTCACTTTTTTGCGATTAGCATCATCTAAAAGCCTTAAAACCTCCTCATCTATCTACACAAATTTTTTGATGAGATATTAGCTAATAAAATATGAAAGGCTTATATTGAGCTTATCAACTAGAGAATTGAAGAATGTGGCCCTCAAAGTCACGCTAAATGGCATTAAAAAGAGAAACTGTGACGGTTTTCTGTATTCAACAAAATTTTTAGAACAAATAAAGAGTTAAAGTACAGTTAGGCCACACGATGATTTAATGAACAGCTGATCTAGTCTTTAGGCAGCAATGAAATTAAGACAGAAAACCATCCAGAAAAGCAGTAGTTGACAAAGGCAAATACCTTTTGCTAAACTTTATATTCATTAATATGCATCCACTTGGTAGAGGACCACTTATTCCCTTTAATCACTGGGCATCCACCTGCGAGGATTAATCATGAATTCAAATATTTCAGTGTAAGCGGTGACCTAAGGAAATAGCAAAGATGAAATATATCTTAGATGCAATCAGGAGGGTGCTCTACGCTACTGTGGATAATAACAAAATCATCTGGAAAGCAACTAATGTTTCTAAATTAAAAAAAAAATGTAGAGAGATGCATAATGGAAAATGTACCATGTAAACTCGATGGATCAAGAGTTGCATCAGGCTTCATGCTCCAGAAAAGTAGAGCATCTCCCATTCTAGGTCGAACAGAAAGGCCCTTCTTTCCGCATTCTGATAACTCATCGTACCAAGGTAAAGCACTGCTGTTTTTTTTTGCAGCAGGGAACACTGTCTCACCACCCTCTTCAACATCCGAACTGATGGACATAACAAAAATTTAAGAAAAAAGACGATAAAGAGCAGCATTAATTCTCCAAGAAAAAGTCCTGATGACGAGCCAAAGTATTTAAGCAGTAATTATGCAGCACACATACAGGTACATGAGGATAGTAGCAATTCTTTGACCACCATTCTTGGTATTGAAGTCATCAAGAAAATAGTCATAGTGAGGCTCATATTTCTGCCCTACTTCATAATGTAGAATTTGAAGCCCTTCCCCATGTTCTGCAAAAAAGTATTAAGCTTTGAGAACAAAACAAACAAGTCTACGGAATGTCAATGTCAAAGCGTAACAAGAAACAAATGTAAGAGCATAACTACCGAGACAACAACAAAAGCAACAATATTAAGTCTTTATCCCACTACATGGGGTCGGCTATATGAATCATTTTTCTTCCATTGTGTGCCTATTAAGAATCAATTTATCATTTAAATCTAATAAAAAATATCATTATTAATACTTTCTAATAAAATCCTTTTAGGCCTACCTCTACCTTACTTAACATAGATCAGCTTTAATACATCTACTCTCCTAACCAAATCACGTATATACTCATGGGTGGAACCATGGATAAGTATGCCCACCCTCAATTTTACATAAAAGTTTTTGCCAAATAAAAATATTTTTTCTTCTTTGATATTTTTTATCTTAAATTAAAAGGACAATTTAATTTAGCAAGTTATTAAAACATGTAGTTTAATCTTATTAATTTTCTATAAATACATAAACTCATTTGCAATTTTGACCCACCTAAAATATTTTGAAATGGGCTTGTGAAACCTCATGTAGTCTATATTACAAACATAGCAACAAGAGAGCAAAGCTCAAAAAGATAGAATTGCTCTAGGTTGTTTGTAAACAAAAGTATTATTAATTTCCAAGCGATGTGGGACTAAATGAGAAGAGTTTATAGTTTTAGCAAGTGGGATGGAAGGGAAATGGTGTTGACAGTCTCACGATTAAGCTTTTGTGACTTTTTGTAGTCTCATAATATATATAATTACACTCTAACTTATATTATTGACACCAGTATTATACTATAAGATAAATAATAACAATTTCCTCTTATAAATTAGAAGGTGTTATGTTACTAGCTATTTTATTTTAAATTTTTATTTTATGATTATTATTATTATTATTTAATTACTTAAATTTTTGCCCACCAAGAAAAAGGAAATTGATTCTGCCCCGGTTAATATACTCATTTCACATTCTATCTCTAAGAGTAAACCACTCATCGACCTGAGCATCCTCATGTCAACAACAATTAACTTAATTTTATGCTTCTCTTTTAATGGGCAACATTCTACGTCATAAAAGCATTGCAGGTCTCACCACCATTGTATAGAATTTTTCTCTTAAATAAGAGCATAACTACCGAGAGTAAGAAAAACAGTTGGATAAGACAGGGCCAAAAAATTAATTTCACGGATGCAACCATGAGATAACACATTAAGTAATATGTATATTGCCTTGATTGATGTGAAATAAATATTGATCAAACTAATTGCAGACTTCATTGATATGATGAAAAATTAGATCAGGATGTTCATAGAATCTTTGGTATAACATCTTAATCAATAACAACAACAACAATATCAAGCCTTTATCCCACTATGCCCAGTCTGCTACATGAAACCTTTTTCTCAATTGTGTCTGATTAAGAGCCAAATTCTCATTTAACTCAAATAAAGAAAGGTCATTTCTAATATTTTTATCTCTACCTTATTTAACATAAGACAAATCTAATATATCTACTCTCCTAACCAGTTCATCAGAAAGCCACCGTTTTAAGTGAATAACATCTTGATCATGACAGAATATTTATATAAGTTATGCTTGTGTATTTGATGGGTTTAACTTTCATATTGCTGATATGATTACCTAGCCAAGCCAATATATCCATAAAGTTATGAATCTCCTGGGTCAATGAACTCCATTAGCTTGGTGAAATGTCTTCATCTATTTCAGGATATTAGAAATGATCAAGTATGCATTATAAAATATAATAAATTATTGATAAGTCAATTCTACTTCATAACGAACTACAATATGTATGCTCCTGAATAATTTATCACTTGAATGCATTGATTATTATTTTGCATGTGATTTCTTATAAACTCATCATCATCTTTATCCTTATCCAAACCATTTGGGATTGGTATTATAAATCCTCGTTTTTCACATATTCATATTGTGTGTTGTCTATGATATTATACATATTCTTCACAATCATTTTGAACAATGTTTCATGTAAACATAAGTATACCCATTTTCTTTCATAATCTTCTTAAGCTAATTTTATCAAAACCCATCCACCGAGCACATTTTATACCCTAGATCACACATGTCCAAACCATCTAAATTTATTGTCATTCACCATATCTTCAATATATGTTACTCCACAATTTCTTCTAATAATCATTCCTTCATTTTTTTTCTTAGATTTGTCATGCATCCACCCTAATATTTTTATTTTAGTCGAACACAACTTAGATGTTATTAACTTTTTTCAACCCACCAATAGGATTCATACAATATCAACATTCTAAATGTGATTTTAAAAAATTTACTATTAAGCCTTTACAACGTTCTCTTATTATATCTTTATTAATCTATATAATATATCCAATATACTTTAATCTAACACATCTAGGTATCACCTTACATTCAAATAATATTGAATAATAATTGTTAACATCATACCCAATAAAATTACATACTATAAAGACTTTGATCTACAAATTCTATGGTCAAAATCTACAAAATATTTTCACTATCATTCTAATATTTCACCAATTACACAACCAACCAACCAAAACTATATCATTTGCAAATAAATAAATATTAAGTACCTCACTCAATATAAAAAGATATTGCCTCAATGTTGATCCTTAATGTGAATATATGATAATTGAAAACTCCAATGTCACTCCATACATATCTTTAATATGCCAATTAATCTTTAACATATTTTTTTGTTTAGAGTACACCAAATCAATTCTCGTGGTACTTTATCATATGCTTTCTTAAAATAAATAAAACTCCCATGAATATCCTGTTATGCCGGTCCAGCTTGGACCGGCTCCACCTGGACCGGCCCAGCCAGTCCAGTTCTACCGAAGGCGGACACAGGGCCGGGCGGAAGAGAGGGAGCCAAGGAGTGGGGTCCACTTGCAATTCAAACATAAGCTAAGCGTTTTTGGAGGGAGAAGGAGGGGTAGAGTAGTCCTTTTGCTTTTGTTTTGAATTAGAATGCATTAAGTAGGGAGAAAGAGAGGAATTAGGGTTATGCCATGTTTTGTGAGAATTTCCTTTGTCTTCTTGGATAGTGAGGGCTCTAGATCGAAATCTAGAGATTGGGAGAGTGCGATCCTCCTCTCGAATAGAGGATCCTTGTATCTTTGCTATTTTCCTTGCGCCTACTAGTAAAATACAAGTTGTTTCTTCATTTTTCTCTCAGATTTCCCCTATTTTCTACTGTTTTTTGGCTGTTTTACTGCTGTGGACAGCAGTTTTCATCTTGGATCTATTTGATTTTGGTGAGAAACAAGCTCCAAGGGATTGCTGTATCAGTATCTGTTCTGATTGATTGGGGAGCCATCAAAGAGGAGAGCATCCAGAATGAGGAGCTCAGGAAAATCAAAGAAGAAGTGCTTTCAGATGAAAACAGCACCCATGTTACACAGTTGTGGGGGAAAGACTGTACTATCAGGGAAGGAGCGTGATTCCTAGGTCTTCCATTCATATTCCCCATCTGCTACAGGAGTTTCATGGGAGCGCCATAGGAGGGCATTCAGGAGTGCAGAAAACTTATGCACAAGATTGTGCAAATTATAGAGGAATTAAGTTAATGTGTCATACTTCAAAACTATGGGAGAGAGTTATGGAGCATAGGTTGCGGCGTGATACTAATGTTTCTCAAAACCAATTTGGATTCATGCCGTGTAGGTATACTATGGAAGCTATACATTTATTTAGAGGTTTGAGGAGAAGTAAAGAGAGAATAAGGAGGATCTACATATGATATTTATTATAAAAAAAAAAATTCTATCTAATATTGATTTTTTTTGTTTTCCTTATGGTAGAGTGCTGATATTTCGAGTTATTCAATAAAATTTTCTTTCCTATATCTTAGGATTATATATTTGTAATTATATGATCTTATGTGTAATCTTTCACAGCAATAAAAAAATCATTTAGCTCGGACTTAACTCATGGGATTTGATTATTGTGTTAAGGTTAAATCATTGTATCATGTATCCTATATTGTCAAGATGTGTTGGCTTCGGGGCTAAAAATAATGGAAAAAATGGCATCACTAACAAATATAACAAGCTAAGAGCAAACTAATATGTAAATAACAATTTTAACATTTGCTTTAAGTTAGCATTCCCTGTTCTGCATGGACTTCCCAATTTTTTATGATCCCAATGCTTCTTCAAAGCTGGTAAGAGCGCAAGGAAAAATACACGACACTATGTAAGCAGGAATTGACAGTCAATCTAAAGGGCAATAATGATTCTCTAGAAACATACCCACTGGAATGAAGGTAAAATCAGCTATCCTTTTCTCAATTGCCTTAACTGTTTTGTCTAGTCCCCTCGAAAGAAATGTGCCAGAGCTAGTTCTCACTCTGCAAGCAATGTCAATTTCTAAAAAGCCTTCAATTAGTCTAATTTGAAATAATAAACAATGTAAATAGGATACCTGCTATCTTTACTCTTGCCAGTGCTACTATCAACAACGGTAGACTTCGCCATATAAGGCTTTCCTAATTCTATTAGATGTTCACATTCCTCTTTTGACTGCATGAAGCAATATAAGATCAAAGTTTATAATTATGACAAAGAAAATTTTAAAAATCTTAAAATGCTATAGGGCAAACTCTTTTGACTGCGTGAAACATTTATAAGATCAAAATTTAAAATTATGACAAAGAAAATTTGATAAGTATAAAATGCTATAGAAAAAAAAAACTAATAGAAACTTACAAAGCAATGACAACACCAAAATAGCGCTAATAAATTGCTCATGTAAAACCTTACACCAATTAAAGACAAGGAAAGCAAAAAAGGATAAAAGATAGGGCAAACGAGCCAATGAATTATTTTGTATTGGGTAAAAATAGATGCTAGTATGGAAAACGGAAGAGGCTTGAAAGGAACTCTCTTTGAGGAAAAAAACGTGAAAAAATGCCAATCCAATACAAAGCAATAATATCAACTTCCGAGCACCAGTTAGTGGAGTATATCATGCTCAAATTCCATGATTTAAATGGTAGAAGGAAGAGGTCTGCAACAAGGAAAAACTACTTTACAAGTATGAATGTAAACGAGATAAAAGAAAATAATATTCTCATCACTCGGATACCAGAAAGTATTCACTAGCTGTTACAACAATTCGCGCATCACTTCACCACGAAAAAAGAAAAAAAAACGTCCAAAAAACAAACCAGGACAACAAATCCCCAAAAGAAACCGCTCCCCGTCATGCTAACCCAAAGGACTTACAAGAAAGTTATGGTAGATGAAAGCCCTGGGCTCCCAAGAAAGTAACTCCGTCCACTGTTTTCCTCTCTTTGTCATCCCATCACTGGAACCCACAAAATCCAACGTTAATCCGTAAGCAAAACGAATATTGGCTCAGATCAGACCAGATACTCCAGTCCGCCAATCGGATCCGACAAATCAATGGAAAAACAAAGGACAAAGCACAACGGCGCTTACGTATTGGAAATCTCTCTATCGGCGCGGCGGGTACCATTGGGGGAGTCATTGGAGTCGATGGGAAGGGAAAAGATACCCAGGCCGAGTAGCATGAGTAGGACCACCGAGAGCAGCAGAAGCACTGTAAGCACCAGCGTGTACGGCGCCGATTTCCTGCTCGAAAAAACCCGAGCGTGCCGCAGAACCCTCGCCATGGCAAAGACAGAGCTCTCTAGGCGATCGGATTCTAGTTTTTCTGGTGAAAGAGGGGCAAATGAAACGGATCGACGTGAGAGATGTACGCGCGGGAGGGGATTAGCGGCAATGGGTGCCCACGGGTTTGTGGGAACGGCAGCTTATAGTGGGAGGCGACGAAGGGTCTCCAGAAACCGCGGCGTGGAGCGCCTGCCCAACAAGTTAACGGGCTTTGAATACTATTGATTGATCGGCTGGGGCCCATTAGGTATTTGTGTTGAATCTTGAATGTGATGGAGAGCATTCAGCGGATGCTACGCGACATCGAACGGAAGATAATAAAGTAAATAAACTATAATGTAATTAATTTGCAATTAAATTGTAAATATAATGGTCCTAATATATGCCGTATGTCATTTGCCCGTATGTCATTTGCTCGATTTAAATACTAAATCGTACGTTAAAATTAAGTAGGTAATCACAGCGAGATAAAGAGGCTTGCAAAATGGAATTCAATTAGATATGAATTATTGCATTTTGAAATGAAAAATAGATTTTTCAGTTGGAGATGCTCTTAGCTTAGGATTTTAGGTTTGCATTGACCATTGTGATTTTTCAATTACATATAAAAGATTTTGAGGAATTTATTAATTTTCTTCTATATTTTGTAATTATAAAAAATTTATTAAGTATTTTTATTGTTATAGTTCATAAAATTAAACGGGATCGAGATTTTTTTTAAGTAATAAATTAAGAAAAGTAATATTACTAAGATTTAAGTATATATATAATGCAGCTCATCTTGGTATGTTGATTTGAAGCTTTGGCTACCAACCAAAAGGTATTGCGTTCGAGTCTTGCATATGTAATGTATGTATGAGTTTGTCTTAATTAACCTAAATGTCAAAAAAAAAAAATTTATGTACATAGACATATTATCATGCAAGAAAGGGTGTAGCGTTCATAAGAGGAACAATTATTACGTCCTCCGACCGGACGCAGAGGAACATCCGGTCGGAGGTAATTTTCCGCCAAAAAATGAGTTGTACCGAGCAAATATCGAGCAATACCAAACAATAACGAAAAATACCATCATTTGAAGACTCAATACCGAGTTATACCGGACTTTACCAAGCAAATACCGAGTTATACAAAAGTTGTACCGAATTTTTCCCATAAAAACTCGGTACAACTCGGTATTTCTCGGTACATCTCGGTATAACTCGGTATTGGTCTTCAGAGAACGGTATTCCTCATTTTTATCAAATAATACCTAGTTGTACCGAGCAAATACCTAGTTTTTTGGCCAGAAATTGCCTCCGAACGGACGTTCCTCTACGTCCTTGCACCGGACGTAATAAAAGTTCTCATAAGAGACACCAGAGTTTTTACGTGGATAACCCCTAAAAAGAGGAAAAATCACGGGGCCTGGCCTAGTTTGAATGAATCCACTAGTATTTGCAGTCGATTACAAACGAGGCCCTTCTTATGGAGAAGGTGTTGGCTTGATGGTACAAATGTACATCACATAGAGCGCATTACATGGTGGGGGTTACAATAATCAACAAAGACATGTTTGTTTGGCCAGCAGGACCATAGTTGATAAGATAGACGTCGGAAAGACTGTAGTTGGCAGGAGACCGAGGTCAGAAAGACAGTTGTCTAGTGATGGAGGTTGGATGGACCATAATAGGTGACGGAAGTCGGAAGGACCGTAGTCGGTAGGAAACCTGGGTCAGAAAGACCATTGTCTGGTGATGGAGGTCGGAAGGACCATAGTCGGTAGGAGACAGGGGTCTGAAAGATCATAGTTGGCAGGAGATCGAGGTCAGAAAGACTATTGCCTGACGATGTAGGTCGGAAGTACCATAGTAAAAGACGGAGGTCAGAAAGATCGTATTCGGCAGGAGAGTGGGGTCAGAAAGACTGTATTTGGTAGGAGACCAGGGTCTGAAAGACCATTGTAGTCGGGCGGTACTCTGGTAGAACTATGGGTGTCAAGTGGTGGCCCAGCAGAAGGCCGAGCATCGCGTGGTGGTATGGTAGAAGTCCGAGCCTTATGTGGTGGTCTGGTAGAAGTCTAGGCCACATGTGGTGGCCTAGTGAAGCACAAGGCCTCAAGTGGTGGTCCGGCGGAGATGAGGGTCTCAAGTGGTGGTCCGGTAGAAGTCCGGGCCACCGGTGGTGGCCTTGTGAAGCACAAGGCCTCAAGTGGTGGTCAAACGGAGCAACAATGTCAGGCGGTGGTCCGGCGAAGGTGATGGCCTCAAGTGGTGGTTCGGCGGAAGTTCGGGCCTCATGTGGTGGTCCGGCAGAAGTCCGGGCTACAGGTGGTGGCCTAGTGGAGCACAAGGCCTTAAATGGTGGTCTAGCGGAGCAAAGGCATCAGGTGGTGGTCTGGCGGAGGTGAGGGCCTCAAGTGGTGGTCCAGCAGATGTTTGGGCCATAGGTGGTAGCCTAGTGGAGCACAAGGCCTCAAAGTGGTGGTCTGGCGGAGCAACGACGTCAGGCGGTGAATAATATGGTCAAGGGCATTATAAACACTACAAATTGCGTCCATCCGATTGACCAGATCTTGCCCAAACAAGTGGGTCCATGGCCTACACAAATATGATCAAGTCTATTTTTGGGTCCCGACCATTTTTTTTAATATATTATGAATCCATTTTTCATTCTTGTAAGCCCAAAAAATTTATTAAAACAAAATTTTGATCATACTAATATAATTTTAAATAATTTTTTTGGATTTTTTCCTAATAAAGTAAATAATTAATTTTAAGAGCTTAGCAATGAAAATAATTTATTATTGAAGGGAAATAATTAGGTTCATGGTCACAAAGTGAGGTTCATGTTGAGTCTATCTTGTGGTTGTGCATTAAGGAAATTAATTTTAAAATCAAATGATCCTTAAGTTAAATCCTTATAGTAGAAATGATCATCATAACAATCCTAAGAACATTGTGAACATCTAAATTTGAGCCCGAGCAGTCCCAATGAGCCAAACCAAAGCATATTGATCCATTTAAGCCCATCTTCTTCCTCTTCCTCTTCCTCTTTATCAAATACATGTCACACTTATGATTATCAACAACCATTTGCTAATGTTACACCTAAAGTAGTTAGTGGGCCATCCTAGTTAGCTTTTAAACTCTCCTTATTGCAACCAATTGTATACTCTACCATAATTATAGCTTCATGGAGTTTCCATGACCCATGTAAACCTCAAATTAACTAGTCAATTATGGCATTTTATTGATCTTAAGAAAAAAAACATTTTGACTACACATCATTTGTATATTTAACAGTCATAAATTTAATTTTTGTTTGTGACAGCTTTCTTACTGCTATCTCAAATAGCAATTTAGTGCAAAAAAATCTAATTCTAAAAAAATTTTATGCAAAAAGGTTACTTTAAAAAGCAGCAAAAAAGTTGTCCAAACAAAACCTTAATATTATGCCTCCTATATAACTTTTCTTTATGGAATGTCAGTAGTGTTAGATTACTCTCAAATAAATAAATATTTTAATACCAATATTATGGCATATTATTCTTATGCTTTGTTAGTCCTAATATAGATTCTTATCATTTCTTATAATTATTTAAAATAACCTGACCATTATGTTATAAATTAATTGACTCTATGGAATTTTTAAATCAAAATTAAAATCTCTAAACTTGCTGTGATCCTAACTCTAAATCTTTTATGAGAAAGAGTAAAATATTTATACAATGTTGTAGATTTCATGCTCTCACTTATAATAATTGTTGTTTATTCATAATTATTTTCTCCTTATTTTTCATATAAAAATTAAAGCTGCATTAGCAAGTGTGATTTTTTATAACCACTATGAGGAATGTACTAATTGGAAAGAAAACAACAAAAGAAATTTCTTTATTATTTTATAAATTTTGATATATTTTAAGCTATTTCTAAAAAAAATTAGTAGCCAAAAAATAATATCATTTTTTTATGTTAACTTAAATCAATCTAAAATGCATCTTAATATGCACATGAAGTTTATACTGCTTTATGTAAGCCAAGTCTAGGAAAAGGAGCAACTCATGATATGCTTAAAATATTTGTAGATTTCAAGTAGATAAGGGATCACAATGACCTTAGTCCCATATGATAAATGTAGATACATACATACATAAATACATACAGAGTGAGAGTATAATACACAATACATATTTTGAAAAACACAACCTTTGGAATTATAGAGTTTGCTTTATTGACTAGATTGAATTTTCAAGAATTCACAAATGATACTAAGTATGAAAGATAACATGAAGTAATGATGAAGAAAAGAATTTGAAGGATAGATACCATAAAAAACTTTTAGTGAAGTGCACTGCTAAAGATTATTTATGAAATCATAGAATGTAGTTCTTTCTTGATGGTGCACTCCTTAACCATGATAAGCAAAGTGCTATTTTTACTAAAATGGTTCACATGATCAAAGAAAATGATGTAACTTTAATATAACATTGGAGTGGGATGGCATGGGAAAGGGCATTATAAGACCCAAAGAGGGATATGATGCACTACGAGGCATATACAATCAAGAAGAATTCCCCAACCCAATATACTATAAATAAATATATAATATCACTATAGTAATGGGCTTATGATGCCATTTCAATCATGGGGAAGACATCTATTGAGTACCTTGGGGATCTAGAGTAAAAAATGTTGAGCTGGACAAGCAATAAGATGCCCACGAGCAAGGATTTTATGCCAGCAAAGTTATTAAGTCAATTCATTTCACCCCAAGAAGAGCGGATGATGTAGTTTTTTATCATCATTATATAGATAAGAGGTGACCAAGTAAAATTGAAGAATAATCATATCGGGTTAAAGCAAAAGTTGAAAGCTTTAATTAGTCTCATAAGAGTAAGAGATATGTGTTAGTTTACATGTCCATTGACGATGATGCACAAGTTGATGAATTCATGCACTATTGATTTACTCCACCCCATTAATCAGAAGCAAATATCTACCTTTAGTGCTTAGGTATCAGGCGGTTGATAATATCTAGGAGAAGTTAGGAGTGGACACTAGAAAATACAGAGTAGTTTAAATAGTCAAATACTCTAAGAATATAATTAAATAATAAGTTAATAAATATTTTGCTTCATTAAAAGTGTTATAAATAATTTCACCACACTAACTTCAATTATTATTTTTTACAGCATGCTGATTGTTTATTTTTTCTAATAACATAGCAAACATGGAGCTACCAAAAGACCCATAAACCAAATATAATTATGTTGGATAAAATACTTAATTACTAATTTAGAATAATAATCACGATGTACAACAAGATAAAGAATATGGAATCCTTCAAGTGTCCTTAAGATAACGTCTTGTATGCCATTGGGGATGAGGATATATAGGGTTTATATATTTTTAAATGAATTAGAATAAAATTCATTAAATAATATGCAAGAAGTTAATGTATGTGAAAGCCATGAAGTTATATGATTATGACCACTCTTATATTATGATGCATACCTTACATGCGAGGATGAATCATTTTTATAAGTGTTTGCTTAGGTTGCTTGTGCGGTCAGCGATTCTGGACAATAGATACATACTGTTGTCATCTAAAGATCCCAAAATGCGGAACAAGACCACCACATATGAGGCTCATAATGATGATTTAAGATAAGTTATTTAATAATTTAGTCAAAATTGAAATAATTCTTACATATGAGGATTGATGAGTCATTTATGTATGTACATACTTGATTTAAAAGAAGAGTTTATTGAAAATTATACTTGTTCGACCTTTTCATCAATCATTTTAAAATATCTTCAATGAAATGGTTGAGCATATGCTTAATTAAGTATTTTAATAAGTTTCAACAACTTTTTTAAATTATTCGTGAAACATTGTAAACATTTATTTAAATATATTTGAACAATTAATCACATTTATATTTAACACGTTTATCAAGCAATATCAAATTATCTTGAATAAAAAGGGCGAATATTTGTTGAAATAAAATTTAACTAGTTTTATAAATTTTAATAATAATGTAACAATTATATTCATTTTTTTAATAAGATTGATACATTACAGTGCAAAAACATTTAAGATATATATATATGTTTATTTATGCAATTTACAGCAGCATAAAATGCCAAATTTCACAAAGGCATATTAAAGTGGGTTGTCTACTCCGTTCTTATCTTACTCGCACCAGTAGCAAAAGCTGGGTGGGGCGTCGGCGAGAAAATCTGCGACGCTCGGCAGTGAAGAAAGAGCGAGACAGATAGATGGCTTCCCCCTTCGGCGACGATGACACGTACGTGGGCTATGATCCCCGGCTTCCTTCCCAGCGCTACGAGGCCTACCCAAACTTCGCCGCCGACGAGGATTCCGGTGATCCCACAGTAATATCCGACGATCATCTTACTTCTGGCTTCCATGACGTCTCTGGTGGAGCCTTCGGTCCTGACGAGAACGTCCAAGTTCACCATGTTTCTGGCCGCAGCAGTATCCCTCCTTCTCCCGAGGGTTTCGGCTACAACCCGGATCCGCTAGCGGACTTCTCCGAGCCTTCTCCTTTCATCATACCGGAACCTAATGGGAAGGCTTATGGAGAGGAGGAGAATGGAAGCTTCTTCGCCTCTGATGGTCCGATACTCCCGCCCCCAAGCGAGATGCATCCAGAGGAAGGGTTTATTCTGCGGGAGTGGCGCCGGTAAGAGCTTTGCCTCCTACGCCCCAGATCTGTTTGCTATAACCGTTTAAGATATATTTTTAGATATATAATTTCTGATATTCAGCGGCAGGGATTTCTCATGGCGTTTTTTGGAGAGAAGCTGGAATTGCAGAAATTAGAGTTTGCACATTAGTAGCATTCAATAAGAATAAGTAAACAATGAATAAAGAAGTAAGTGTTTTAAAGCTAATCCCAAATAATTGGGATAATAATAATTACGATAATGATGGTATGCTGTAAAATTGGTTAATCATTTTTTAAACCAGGTTCATGTATGAGAAGCCTGATATGGAGGTGCTGAGATATCATAACATATTATAATACTTACATTATTCATATAAATTGCTTTAAAAATATATTGACTTTGAGGTTTTTTTTTTTTTGGGAATGGTGGATATAACTTGTGTTGAAAATATATTGATTTGATTTAATTATTATTTTTGAAATAGTTAAGCAATAAATCGTAGTTTATGTGGCTTTAATTTATGATCTTAGAGAAACAGCATTCTCTTTCAACCACTAAGCCATTGATTCTTTTCTTAATAATCTCTCTTTTTTTATGGTTTTTCTTAGCATTGGTGTATGCCTGCCTTTTAGGTGGCATCGTACATGATTTCTAATAAAGCTGTTTCTCCTAGTTACTTTATGCGGATGGGCTTTGAAGTTCCATTTTTAGTTCTTCTGATAGATTAGCCGTTATTGTTTAACTATTTTCTGATATTTTTCAGAATCACTCCTGAGATTGTTTTTAAGGCTTCGTTTAATTTGAAGTTTTTGACGCTTATTCCGTTTTAAAATGACAAATTCATTTCTTCTTTACTGTTTGGTTCGTCAGATCAAGCTCCCAATAACTCCTTTTGTTTCATTTTTCTGCTGTTTTGAGAAAGTTTTTTATATATGCTTCTCCGTTAGAAAACTCCATTTTCTGAACCAATGTTTCTTAAAACTGTCTTTTACAAAAGTACAAAAAAAACCAGACGAAGCCTAAGAAAGGTGTGCTTTACTGTTTGGTAATTTTCTCTGAATTGACTTCTTGGTCTACATCTTGTTCATGCTGGAGGAACTGGTTTTCTGAATAGTCATGACTGCCCATTTTTTGTCATATTGTTCATACTGGTGCAATTTACTGCATAAAGTTTGCCTATTTATCGCTTGTTAGAAAAGTGTTGCCTTGTGAGGAGTTGAGTTACACTGAAATAATTTGAGGACCCACTGAACTAAGTTATGTGTGCCGGTGAATTATAATGTATGGGTAATTGCTAATCATTCAATTGCTATAATAATCTTTCACATTCTTACATAGAAGTGCTATTTGTAATTTACTTTTGGAAATAGTGTTCCATTTCCTGAGAAGATATTTACATATCTAAGCGGCTAAGATGGCAAAGAATTATGCGATAAGACTACATATGAAGATTTATATCTCTATAAAATGTGAGTATTTGTATGTTTATACATTTATATATGAGAATCTATATATATCTATAAAATGTCTAAGATATGCTTTGTTATATAAATCTAATGCTCTACAACAATGATAGTTATAAACAACTAAGTTGATTTTCTTGGAAATAATAAGTGATGTTCACTAGAAGGTTAGTGTGATATAAGAGAAGGCATGAGAGCAGTGGCACCTATGAAAATTAAGGACGTGGAAAAATAAACTGTGGTTGGGCTTATAGATCAAAGAAAAGATCAATGATTGTTTGTGTGTGTATGGTGGTGGTGTTGTTGGTGGTGTTGGTGGTAGGGGTTCGACATCTTAACTCAATCTTGCATGATCCCATAAAATTATAAAAGCAAACTTTAACAATTCTCTTTTTAATTTTGAACGTAACTCCTAGTAGTTTTACATCAGAGGGGCATTGAAAACTGATGCTTGAGGAATATTAGGCTAAAGTTTGCTTGGCAAGTTGGTCTGTTGGTGCAAGATGATATACATGCTCTAGACTTAACACCACATGCAACACTTAAAGGTATGGTTAGAAAATTACAGTTCATAAATCCAACCAAAATAACCGGGATGAAGACTATTGATATTGTTGATGGTTGTAACTAAAATGACAATTTATTAACATTTAGACAAAACAATACATTGACAAAATTGTTAATAACACTATCTGATGTGAAACATAGGATGCAACAGGCATTGTTAGGAATTTATAAAAAGTTGTTTAGCATGTTAATTTTAAACAATGTTTCACCAAGTTAGATTCTCGGATTTCTCAATTTTCAATATTATAACACGTGCAGTTAGATTAGAGAGACAATTTAGAATAATCAAAGAAATGTTCAACACTTAATGAGCCATTAACAAGAATCAACCGATTAACAAATAGATAGTTCACCTTGAGTTTCCCTCACTCACACTCTTTGAAATAGGTTTTAGCCGGAGAACAATCTACACAATAACAAAGATGCCACTAAAAGACAATAGGCACTTAGGATTTTGGATCAACAGAGAGTTTACCTGAATATGAAGAAGCCGGCAGCTGTGTGGAGACTCTTGGACAGCAAACGGAAGCTTCCAGATTGTTGGACAACAAGGGAAGCTTGCTGGAATCCTCTGGACAGTAATGGAAAACTACTCGAATAGCAAACCAGCGGGGGTAATCTTGCTGAAATCCCAGATCTGAAGAAGCTAACAGATAGTGGGAGACTTCTGGACAACAAAAAAAGGAGCTCCTGGACTTTGGGACAGCAGGGGAGTTTGCTGAAGTTTTCTGGACAGCACAAGAATTGGTTTGGGATAGCACTTCGTGGATTAAAAGAGGCTGGACAGTAGTTTTGATGTGGCAGAAATTCCTCTCTAGATCACGGTCTCTAGTGGGGAGTGGGGTTAGGGGAAGTTGGTGGTGAGAGGTAATTTCAGAATCTGAAATTAATTTCAGATTTTAGGTTGGATTTGAATGGGGAAAAGATTTGAAATTTCGAATTTAAAATGCAGAGGAATAAAGGAGGGAAAAGGTAATTAATATCCCCTAATCTAGGGCTTAATTAGGGAACAAAATAAATTAGAGAAGGGGAGGGAAGGGGGGGGGCATCCAAAGGAGGGAAGAGGGGAGTGTCCACATTCAACGTATGTGGATCTTTGTATTGATTGTTGATTGGGGAATTCAAATCTGAAGTAATTTCATATTTTTATCAATTGGGGGGCTTCCTAAAATAGTTTTATTAATTAGGAAAGTATTTGAAATTCAAATTAATTTGAATTCAAATTAAGAATCTTTCCAAATTAATACTAGGATAAATTAGGAAGGTATTGAAGAGGTACTTTGAATTTTGAAATCAAGGGAATTGTGGAGGGGGTTGGGCCGGCGGCTAAGGGGGGAGGGGAAGCCGTCGGATATAGGTGGTGGAGAAGAGGAGGCCGGCGGGTATTGGTGGAGGGATGTGTGTAGACAAACTGTGCAGGAGGTGTTTTGTTGACCGGTGGTATGGGATTGAAAGGGAGGTGGCTGGTGGCTTGATGAAAGGAAAGTGGTGGGAAAGAAGAAAGGGGGAAGGGGAAGACCGAGAGCTCGGACTCTTTCGGCGTATGTCGGGTATTGCCTTAATCCTCTCCTAGGGTTCTCTCTTCTCCCAAAAGCTCACAAAGGAACAAGAAACCAAAAGCTGAATTTTTTTATTAATCATTCATCCATCCTCATATAATGACTAAGGCCTTAATAGATAGACCTCCAGAATAAAAGAAGCTCAAAGACTAAGATGCCCTCAGGGCTACGACATAAAATAAATCCCTCATAGGGGTACAATGGTAAAAACAGAAATATAAATAAAAAAAATACATGAATGCATCATAAGTAGAGTCTATGAATCGTAGCAATCGATCTACGATTCCTTCGATGATAGACGCGTCGAAATCTCCTGCTGATGTCCTCATCACTATCAATCCAATATTTAAAATGACACAAACTAGGAAAAAGATAGCACCATTCACTAATCACTTTGTTAAAATACATCTTTTCCATATAATAAACCAACTGTTCTTAAGATTTTGGTCCATTGTGGAGAGGAATAATTTAATTCTCACATGAATTGACAACAACAACAACAACAACAACAACAACATCAAGCCTTTATCCCACTACGTGGGGTCGGCTACATGAATCCTTTGTCTCCATTGTGTCCTATTAAAAGTCAAATTCTCGACATGAATTGACAAACAAGGAATAATTTAATTCACACATCAATTCTTGCCATACTGGAAACAGTACATAAAATAACCAAATCAAAGCTCAAAGAACAACTTTGAAGAAGAGGTCACCTGGACAGGTCTCTATTGTGACATGAGGGTATGAAACGTTAAGCCTCACAAACTCGAAGACGTAAGGTGCTAAGATCTTAGAAGCATTCCCCTTTTTTCTAACTGTTCATAAATCAACAAAAAAGAAGAGGTGAAGACAAAAAGAGCCTTATCAAATTATTATGTGATGTCAACTGAAAGCCAAGCACATTGTAGCCTGAGATAGCTGTAGCTGTTCTGGGCATGTGACCAGCTAGATGCAAGATCTGCTAATTTCCTGAAAGGTATTGAAGCACTGAACTATTAATATGACTGATTGAACTTCATCATGTATATATGATGAACAAGAAGCTAGTTCAAAGATATTGATTGAGGAAGGTTAGGAGAAAATTTGTCAGAGAACAAGCTTTCCAATAGGTTGTAAGAAGATCTGGATAGGAATAGATAGAGTGATTATCCTGGCTAGACATTGGTTAGTGCTTAAGATGCGATACATACGCAGACTGCAGGTAATAACATAGGTTGTTCAATGAGAATCTATCAATCAATAACCATAACAGGAAGATGTAGATGGTTTGGGAAAAGAAAATGTCAGGGACAAGAGTCAACCGCCAAAACATATGATTCAGTTGCTCTTCTCAAATATGCATATGCAATATATGCAAGTAAATATGTAAGCACACAATGTGTGTTTTTGTGCAAGTGTTATCCACTTAGGTATTAGTTATATTCA